CTTTTTCTTTTTGTTGGATTCTTCCCCTTTGCATTCAGTTTCTTGTCATTCCTGATGGATTCATTCTGCTGGACTTCCTGGGGTCATGATCCTCATTGTCTTTTCCTAGGATATTGTTTAAACTTTTGGGGGGTGTTGGTTTGGTATTCATGAAATTTCTAAGGTGCTCTTTTTCATGAAAGTATCTTATTTCTCCATCAATTTTGAAAGATAGTTTTGCAGGGTACATCAGTCTGGGTTGGAGGTTGTTTTCCTTTAGGCCTTGAAATATTTCACTCCAGTCTCTTCTTGCCTTGAAGGTTTGTGTTGAGACATCTGCTGTGATTCTGATGGGGTTTCCTTTGTGTGTGATTTGTTTTTTTCCTCTAACTGCTTGTAGAATTTTGTTCTTTTGGGTTTGCAGGATCTTGATTATTATATGTCTAGGTGTGGATTTTTTTGATCATGGCTATTTGGAGGCCTATATGCCTCACTTATCTGTATGTCATGTTGTTTTCCCCTGCTTGGGAAGTTTTCTGCCATCACTTCTGTGAACAGTTTTTTTATGCTCTCCTGTTTCTTCCTTGACTCTGCTCTGTCTTACGTTACTCTTCTTTGCATCATCTAGCAGCTGCTGGATTGATTTCTCATGGTCCCTTACTATTTTTAAATAATTTTCTTTTTCTGGTCACTAATTGCAATCCTGTCTTCTATGTCTCAAATTCTGTCCTCACATTGGCTCATTCTGCTGTGTAAACTTGCAGTGAAGTTTTTAATCTCCTGGAAATCCGTTTTATGGATTCCATTTGTTTCCTATGTTGGGATTCAATCCTGTTCCTCAGCTCCTCTATTTTTTTTCTGTGTCCTCTCTAGATTTATTAATCGTGTCTTGCACTATGGACATAATCTCTGTTGTTATCTGAGAAATCATTTCTGATTTCATTTTTTCCAGATCCTCTTTCATTGGCAGTTCAGGAAGTCCAGGTGGTTGAGTATCAGATTGTTCCATCTCATTGCCCTTTCCAGTTGCCTTAGGTGATCTGGAAGTCTAGTTTTGAGACTTGTTTACGTGTCTTCTCATTTCAACAGATGCAGCCTGCTGTGCCTTTGTTGAGGTGACTTTTTGCTCTTGCAGTTGTCTTCAGTTCCCAGCAAGCCATGGAGAGGCCTTTTCTCTGCTGCTCACCCCTGTGCCACTTCTTGGGTTCAGAATGGTGGCCTTCTGGATCCCTGTGCTGCGCTGTTGTCCAGATGGGGTTCTGGCTGGGATCTGTGCACACTTAGGATGGTATCTGGGTGTGCCTCTGGCTGGAGCCTGACCTCTTTAAGTAGCGTTTTTCTGGGAGGGCCTTTGGCTGGGGACTGTGCTCTCCTGTCACTGGTGTCTGTGTGGGCTTCTGGCTGGGTTCTCACACACTTACCAGTGGTATCTGGGTGGGCTTCTGCTGTTGCTTGTGCACCTGTGCAGATCTTTTCTAGGAGGGCCTTTGGCTAGGCCTGTGGGCCCAAGCTGCTGGGGTCAGGGCAGGGTCCTGGCTAGGATCTGCCTGCTACCATACCGCTCTGGTCTCTGCCCAGTCTGTATGTGTTTTTATGCTTTTTACTCAAGATATCTTTGTCTGTTTGTGATCTTTTATGTTTCTATACAGATCTAAGGTGGGTTTTTTTTTCCTGTGAAAAGTGCCACTGATTTTTTGATAGTGATTTCATTCAATCTGTAGATTGGTTTGAATAGTATGGACATTATAACAGTATACTTCCAATTAGAAATACAGGATATCTTTCCATTTATTCGCACCCTCTTTAATTGCTTCCATCAGTGTTTTATAGTTTGCATAGTGTAGATCTTCCACCTCCTTGGTTAAATTTATTTTTGTACCTTTTGTCAATGAGATTGTGTTCTTGATTTCTTTTTCAGCTTGTTTGCTCTTAGCGTATAGAAACACTAGTGATTCTAATAGTTTTATGATGGAATCCTTAGGGTTTTCCATATATAAGGTCATGTTATCTGCAAACAAGAACAATTTGTCTACTTGCCAACTCCTATGCTGTTTGTTTCTTTCTCTTTCCTAATTGCTCTGGCCAGAACTCACAGTTCTGGTTAAGTAGAGGTGGTAAAAGTGAGCATCCTGATACAGGTGACAGAAGGAAAGTGTTCAGTTTTACTTGGTTCAGTATATATGGTTTTGTTCCCTAGTACCTTATAATGTTGAAGTATATTCTTTCTGTACCTAATTCATTGAGAATTTTTATTGTATATTGTCAAATATATTTTTTTACATATATTGAAATGATTTGATCTTTGTCCTTTGTTAATGTATTTTGTCATACTGTCTTTGAATTACTGGGATGAGTCCTGCTTGATCTTGGTAAATGATCTTTTTAACATCTTGTTAAGTTTAGTTTGCTAGTATTTGGATGAGGATTTTTACATCTATGTTTATTAAAGGCCTGTATTTTTTGTGTGTGTGTGTGTCCATCTGTCCATGTCCTTCCATCCATCCATGTGTGTCCTTGTCTGATTAAATAATAGGGTATCCCTGTCCCCATAGAATGTTTGCCCTCGTAGAATTCCTTCCTCTTCAATATTTGAATGTGTGTAGACCATAGGAGTATAGCTTTCAGGTCCAAGATGTTTCTTTGCTGGGAGATTTTTTACTATGATTCTGTTCATTACCTGTTATTTGTCTGTTCGGGCATTGTATTTCTTCATGACTCAATCTTGGTAGGTTGTGCATGTCTGGGAATTTATCCTTTTTTTTTTTTTAGATTTTTCTAACATGCTGGCGTATAATTGTTCATAGTAGTTTCATTGGATCCACTGTATTTTTGTGGTATCAGGCATCAGTTGTAATGTCTTTTCTTCATCTCAGAATTTATTCGAGTTTTATTTTTTCTTAGTTTAGCTAATGCTTTCTTAATTATCTTTTCAGAAAACCATCTCATGGTTTCAGTGCTTTTTTTCTAGTCTCCATTTTATTTCTGCTGTGATATTTGTTGTTTCCTTTATTCTGCTAACTTAAAATGTAACATCAGATTTTTTACTTGAAATTTTTGTTTTTGCTTTTGTCATAGGCATTCATTTTTGCTTTTGACCTAGTCATTTACTTTTGCATTTGACATAGGCATGCATTGCTGTAAATTTCCCTCTTCATTTAAACTGTATTCGGTAAGTTTTGCTATATTGTATTTCTGTTATTGTTTGTCTCAAGTTCTTACTTTGTTTTTTTGCAGTGCTTTGAATTCACTCCAGGGCCTCACCCATGCTAGGCGATCATTCCACCCTTGAATTACATAGCCAACCCTTGTCTCAAGATTTCTTTTTAAATTTCTCTTTTGATTTTTTCTTTGACTCATTGGTGGTTCAGGACTATGTTACTAGATTTTTCATTTATTTGTAGATTTTGTAATTTATTTTCCTATTACCAGTTTCTAATTTTATAAAGATGGTCAATATGATTTTAGCTTTCTTATATTTGTTCAGACTTATTTTGTAATCTAAGATGTCTATTCTGGAGAATAGTCTGTGTGCACTTGTAAGCTATGTACTCTGCTGTTTTTAGAGGGAATGTTCGGCACATGTCTGTTAGGTCCATCTGGTCCGAAATATAGTTCAAGTCCAATATTTTTTGTTTAACTTTCTGTCTGGATTTTCTGTCCATAGAGTATTAATCTGTCCTTTTAGATCTTTTAATAATGTTGGGTACATACACATTTACTATTACTATATACTCTTGATGAATTATATAATGACCTTCCTTGCCTCTTTTCATAGTTTTTGACTTAAAAGAGTGTGGGTGGGATGTGAAAAAGGGAAGTGTCCTGGGTTTTGTCAGAGGCTTCACTCTCAGGCAGTACTCTCTGTGTTATTAATCCCTCAGTTTTCTCAGGATTTGTATTTCAATCTATCTCCCTCCTAGCAGTCAAGTTCTACCTTGTATCTGTGGTCAGGGTCTTGGGTAAGAGTAACTTTGTGTCCTCTCTCCCAATAGTAGATCTCTGCTATATATTGATGGAAGATTTTAAGCCCAACTGGCATTTTTGTGCCTCCTCTAGGGCAAAGACCTTTGCTTCTCTCTGTCATTTAAAAGCAGTGGGTCTTTTTCTGGGCTGGGCAGCCAAGATGTTCCTCTGAGCTGCCCCCTATCTTTTTCATGAGCATGTGATGGGGGCCTGTGGCAAAAAGCTTGCAAGCAAGGACAGGCTTCTTCTGCGTCATGACTCCCAGTTACCTGAACTGTCACACTGTACTCTGCCCTGAGATTTCTTGAAATTTTACCTCATTCCTAACGTGCCTTTGTGACAGCTACTTTTTTCCTTTGTTCTGCCAAAGGTAAAACAGTTCAGGTATCCAGTATTTTTCATAAATCAGCTTTCAATCTTTGAAATCAGCTAACTTGATTGAGTGTTCTGTGATGGGCTCAAGAAAACTTAGGATTTAGTAGGTTATTTGACTCTTGCTGTTAGGTGATAGCAGTGGTGTAGCTCTCTAAATCCTAAGCAGAAACAGAGCTTCTTGAAGTGTTGGGATGTGAATATCTGTGTGTTTGTTTTCAGAGTCTAAATGTAAAATTATTTCTTAATGTAGATCAAGGCTAAAAGACTTAAAATGCTAACTTTTTAGAAACAGATTGGCAAATTATTTCTTTTTTTGTGGTCCAGAATAAATTCCTTGGATGTATGTTGGCCTCAATGATTCTTGTTCTCTTAGACTTCCTTCCTTATTCTTTTGGGTTATTGCTCTGCCTTCCAGTTTAATACTCTTCATTTGTAAAAGCCTTTGCCATATCTAGAAATGGGTACAAAGAAAAAGTAGTATGATTTCTTAAACATCTGCCTGAAATAATGTATGTTCTAAGAAATCATGGCAGTAGTTATTCTCTATGATACTTGTTTGGCCAAAGGAATTAATTTCTTTCAGAAAGATTCATTCCTACTTCTAGTAAGTAATTGATATAGTTATCTGGCTGAATGTACTCAGTTTGTCTAATATATTTTCTATTATTTACATTTTTATTTAGAGTTTTGGAGGCTGGAAAGGCAAATGTTATTTTACCAAAAAGTTCACCAACTGGAATAACTCATGTAATTGCTAGTAATGCAAGAATCAATGCTGAAAAAGAAAAAGATAATTTTAAGGCTCCGTTTTACCCAATTCAGTATCTAGGGGATTTTCTTTTAGAGGTAAGTAAAATAAATAGTAGATATTTAAAACTGTTCATTTTATGAGGAACCAATACAGTGAAATACAATCCATCATGCTTTGATATCCTCAGAGTTTGACCCCAGGACCCCTCTTAGATACCAAAATCCACTGATGCTCGGATCTCAGATCTCTTCTGTAAAATGGCATAGTATTTGTATATAACCTACCAATGATTACTTGCATAATTATCTCCTGATAGTTTATAGTACCTAACAGGATGTAAACAGTATGTAAACAGGTGTTGTGCTGTTCTTTAGGGAATAATGACAAGGAGCAAAGGCAGTGCATGCTCTGTAATGACGCTGCCATCATAGGCCCACCTACATTTTCTAACTGGGGTTGGTTGAGTCTACATTTGGAGGCAACAGATATGGAGTGCCGACTGTTTATATTAAAATTATGTTCTAACCTTCAAAAATATATAGCTGGAAGTCCTTACAGTGATACTCAAGGTAAAAGAGAAGCATTAGTATGTCCCAAAACAACCCTGATCTAGGAAAAATCATTTCCTTCAGTATTTCTCATCTTAATAGATGCCATCACCTTTTGTCTACTATAATACTTACAAGTACAAGTTAAGAACTAAGCAGCACTCACATGTGTCTTGCTCTTTACTTGATGTCTCTGGCTTTCTATCTTTTTATGATCCCACTATCCAGGCTCATGATTTTATTCAAATTGTGTGACAAATGCCTTGGGGCTAGATATTGGTATAAGACTTGGAGATAATCACATATGGTCACATATGACCATACATGGTCCAAGATAATAAAATAAGTTAAACATCTGAAACAGAAGCCAAGCTAATTCTCATTGACACAAACTGTACTACCTTCTCATAGATAATAGGACAGGTTGCTAAATAAGCAGGCTTTTAGCCATACTTTGATAAATAGTACTGTAATATATTAAAATATACTACAATGGTCCTTTTTCCCTATATCATATATGTAGACAGACACCTAATGCAATCCCTCATACATAGTTGGTGCTAGAGAAATATTTATAAAATGAGGAATAAAAAATGAATATAATTACTATAATGCTTCCACACTTTATAAGAGTAGCCAATTGGAGAGAACATGGATGGTTTTAAAAAATACATATTAGAGCCGGTGTGGTGGCGCATGCCTGTAGTCCCAGCACTTGGGAGACTGAGGCAGGAGGATTGCAGTTTCAGGACAGCCTGGACTATATAGTGAGTTTAAGGCCAGTCTGAACTACATAGCGAGACTTTGTCTAAAAAAAAAAATAGCCATTTTTACCTAAAATATTTTTCAAATATCATAGTTTATATATTGGGTTATGATTTTTAAATAGTTAACATATAGGATACCAGTATCATACATCTTAATTTACAGGTCCAAGCACAACATCTTTAAAGGGCAGATAATATAGCCCAGTACAGTCTTACCTCATTTTAGCTTTTATCATAATTGGTTCCTAGGAGGACATTGAGTCTCCATTCTTCCTGGAGTGCTGTACTGGAGTGAATCTCTGAATGCCCTTCCAGAAGTACATTCTGGGAACTGTAATAAACTCACCTTTACTTTCAACTCTATCTTACTAAACTTGTAGAACTGTATGTATAGGTACATGTGTATTTTTAAAATAATTTATAGGCAGTTTATGAATTCATCTTTAATTTTTTGGCAAGAGCAGTGTGAGACACAGCTAGATGAAGATAATTGTTGTTTATTGCTATTCTGGTAAAATAAGAGCTATAAATTCAGGTATTGCTTTGTCCATCTCTGTCTCTCTGGCTCTTACTTACAAGTAAGAAGTTTTACCTGGGAAAAAAACTTTAAACAGTCCAAGAAAGTATCTATCTATAACCTAACAGTTTTTACATCTAGACTGTAACTTTAACTTTAGACAAGGAGTAGGTAAAATATTTTGTTTTTGATGATTCATAAAAAAGATTGATTGTTCCTAGACCCGCAAAACGGTAGCTCTTCTTAAGACATAACAGAAATCACGTTATTATCCAGAACCTTTGCTCTAATTGTTTTGCTCTTGAAAGATTTTACAAATGTTTCAAGCCTTTGTTTTTGGAGGGTGTATAAGTATATAATGTTGAAATTTATAGTTAACTGCCTAAACCATTGTATATATATATAAATTCAGAATGGTGAAGAGTCTCAAACCAGTTCTTTTGGAAGTAAACCAGGCAATCAAGAAAAAAACAAAGATTTCAGGAAAGATATGGGATTATTTGAAATGAAAAGTGCCTTAAGAGAGACTATATGTAGAATCCGGGTAGAATTTTATAAGCTAAAATATGTATCTTTTTCTTTGTGTATGTGTATGTGTGCGTGTGCTCATGTGATTACTTGAGAGTCAGTATTTGGTGGCTATAACATGAATCTTGAAATCTAAACACTGGTATTTGAGCTATGTGTTTTTAGTCTGTGACTTGGGCATGTTAGAAAATTTCTCTATGTCCATGTTTAGGAACTCTTGCTGAAAAAAGCTATATGCACATATAGGCAAAGAGTTCCTAGTTTGTAATATGTTTTCAATACATAGTAATTATCACTTCTCTAATGTAACGTTTTCTTTATGAAGCATTTTTCTTACCTATTAGTGCTATGTATATTCATAATTCATCTAAGTTCAAGCATTTAACTGCATATAGGACAGTTTTTAAAAACAAGTAAATTTTGTACAATGGGTAAACAAAATGGTTTGTAATACTCCTTTCTCTAGATTAAGCGTGTAGGTAACTAAGAGTATATGTAAACTTACTGTAAAACAGAAAACTGAAACATCTATGGTCTTCTACTTTGTCTTAGTATATAGCTAAGATGTAATCAGATCTTTGAGATCAAAGATCAGAGATCTTTGATTTTTATATTTAAACTCATATATTTGCCCTACAAAATTTACCTTCCTAAGTTTTTCTGTTGTGACTTGCATTGGTTGTGTTGAAGCTGTATTTAATCCACATTTTAACTAAAATCATTCTATAAACATACAGAAAGAAATGCAAAATCATGATGAAGATGTTATTGTTAGTTCTGCTGTGAATGAACGTCACAAAAGAGCAAAATTCAGGGAAACAAGAGATTTGAAATTTCTTAAAATGAGAAATACCTTAGGAAGTCATACATATGGAAATCAGGTAAAACTTTACAAATTAAAAATAATTTATATTTTACAATATGATATAATTCATGACATTTTTTGAAACAGCTGTACAAAAGTGTTTATAAAACATTTGTGTACAGTTTTTTAAAGAAAGTGGAAATGAATACTTATGTGCCCACCAACTAGGTATGAAAATACATTACCATCTTTTTAAGCCCCGGATGTATCATTTATAACTAGCTAGGTGTCCTCCCTTTTGCATAGAAGTATCCTATATTTTAGAATTTGCTTTCATTATATTTTTAACACTTGGGTGAATCCCAAATAACACATTGTTTAGCTTTGGCCATTAATGAACATTTTGTAGTTATGCTTTTTATAGACATGCTGGTATATATTTGTTTCACTGTTAGACTATGTCACAGACGTAGTCTTTCACTATTAATAAGCATTTAGGTTTCTTTTTGTTGGGTTGTGTGGTTGCTTGATTGGTTGATTTTTGAAATTATGAACACTTCTGCTGTGAAACTGTGTGAACATTATCTCATGTGACTCTGTGTTTAGGAACTTCATTAGCTTGGTGTGTATTCCTAGGAACACAGATGCTGCGTCGTAGCAACTGTGCATGTGTAATGCTACAAAGTAATGCCCAACTGTTAGCCCAAATGATTTGTTAATATGTAACTTACTTCAGCAGAAGAATGTTTTCTGTTGTGTAGAACTCTTATTTTTTTAATGTGGTATACTTATGTTATAAGGCATTCTTCTGGGGTTTATATGGATTTTGTAACATATAATTCATATTGATATTTCATTGTGGCCTAAATACATGCAGAAAGAAACAACAAAAAAAAATGAAGATATTCAAAGGAGTTATACTTTGAGGAAAAAACTCAAAAAAGAAATTGATTGCAAGAAAGACTTCGAACATGACAGAATTAAAAGAACCTTAAGAAAACATGTATATTACACAGATCAGGTAAAACTTTGTAAAAGGAAATATAATTTTAATTTTTCTGGCTCTTTAACTCAGATAGATTGTCTGATTTTCATAATTGCTTGCTTTGTTAAGTATTACCTATATGTCTTAGAAAAAAATCTACTTGAGTTTACCTAGTGTATTAGGTCCATGGTGAAAATATTTTTACATTAATACTCTGGTAAATTTGATGAAAAATACCTTAAAAATACATGTACATGTAGTTTGGATAATACATTCTAATGTACATTTTGTTATATATCTTGCTTTTCCTTAAGATGATACAGACCATTTATAATAAGATAACTTGTCTTTTAAATGGATTCTTCTTGGATAAATTATTTAGAGCATAACTTTATTTTACATTCTTAGTCATAGCATGTGTTTATACAGGTTGACCCTAATCCAAAAATCCAACATCTGAAATGCTCCAAAATCTAATACTCTATAGCAGTAATAGCAAACCTTTGAGAACTTTCAGTGTTAACAAACAGCCCATTGTGGCACGTGTGCCATAGGTTTGTCACTCGTGCTGTATAGAGTGTGACATGATATCACAGTGGAAAGTTCCGCACCTGAACTTATTTGATAGGTTTCTATCAAAACACAGGTCATGTACATTAAAACATATTCTATAAAATTATCTTCAGGGATGTATATAAGAGGTATCTAAAACATAAGTGAATTTTTTGTTAGATTTAGATCCTATCTCCAAGATATCTCATTATGTGTGTAAATATTCCAAAATCTAAGTATACTCATTCTGTATATATATAGAGGCAAATAAATTTATTTTATGTGAACATGGTAGCAAAGAAAAACAGAGAGGTTTCAGGAAAGACCTAGAACAAGTTAAAATGAGAAATACAGTAAATTCACTTATGTAAAGAAAACTTTCCAAAATTGAGTTGTTTGCTTTTTAAACTTTATCCTTAATTGTTTAATCTTTGATAAATAATTGTGAAGACCTTTGCTGTGTTTAACATTATATGAATGTGGTCTTGTACTGTCCGTTGTAATACCATTTGTGTTGACACTATCTTTCGTGCATTGTCTAAAGTTCTTTTGCATGTATGCAGAAAGAAATGAACAATTCTGTTTTCACTGATTATGCCAAAGAATCAAAACCCAAGGATATCAGGAAAGATATGGATATCAGTGAAATAAAAAATGTCTTAAGGAAGCACATATATAGAGCGCAGGTAAAACTCAACACACTAAAAAGTCTGAATACTATCATATCTTTCTCTAGTATAATCAGATATAATTTTATACATGTAGACATAGATAATATGATTCATTGATATGCTAAATATGTAAAAATAATTTTCTTCAATAAACTTACAATGTGAACAGTAACATATTTGGATGTTTAGTAAATATGTTGATTTCTCTGCTACACTTCAGTGATGTCAGTAATTGTGTTTAGATACTGCTATAACTTTACTGTACAGTTGGTAGCTGATACTTTATATATCAGTCCAACTGCTTGCACTGTGACTTTAGATCTTTTATGAGTTTAAGAAATATTATGGTTCAGTAGATTATCCAGCTCTTTCTTATTGTTGAGGTGGGAGCATTTCTCTTTCCAGCTTTATACATTGAAAGTAGAATCCAGAGATTTATCATTTGTATTTATTCTGTTAGCAGAAAGTTTGAGCATATTTTACACCTGTATTTGCCATTTATATATTTCTTCCTCTGCCAGTTTCCTATTCATATTCTTTTCCCATTTTTCCATTGGGTTGTTTATTTTATATCTGTCCCTAGAACTTTTTAGAACCAAAATATTATCTTTATTATATTTTGTACAGAATTTTTTCCATGATAATCTTTTAAAAATGTATAATTATGGGTATTTTTAAACAACAGAGAAAGATTTTATATGTGTTTATGTGGAAAGCCTGACAGACTTCTTTTTTCATATGGACCCGTAGATAAAAATGTTCTTCTTGAGGCCGGGGATTTAGCTCAGTGGTTTCACCGCCTGCTGTGCAAGTGCAAGGACCCGAGTTCAATCCCCGGTACCAAAAAAAAAATGTTCTTCCCATTTCTATTTTTAATTATTGAAATGCTAAGGATAATAGACCTCTTCAAAGTGAAAACCTTGTAAGGTATTTTGGGGGTGAGGGAAGACAAGTCTCACTGTGTAACAGTCCAGGCTGGCCTTGAACTTGTGTTAATCCTCCTGCTTCAGTCTCCCAAGTCCTAGGATTACAGGTGTGTGCCAGCATACCTAGCTTAGGTTATTTTTAATCTAGAGGGAGAAAAATAGAGAAATCTTCATACTCCTGAGAGTGCTATTATGATGATAGTTAGTAACTTGAGCAAGCATGAGTATCAGATTAATTATAGGTATCAGTGTGTTCCCGAACCTGTTCTGAATGTGTTCTGTGCTTTGTAATCTGAAATGTATTTTTCAACCTAAAATGCTCAATTTTAATTATATGGTTGCTGTTTTTTAGGCTGTCAGATACAACTGCATTAGAATAGAGAAACAACCAGTATACAATGCAGAGGTAAGGGGCTTGGAGTAAGGTGATGGGAGGGGGGAAGTTTGTCTTTTGTTACTTTTATTTTGATGTAAAGCAGTGTGTTACCTGTAAAACAAAGCTTCCTGTCAAATTTCAAATGTAGTTTTTCTAATTTGAAATGAAAAAGGAAAATACTGATCTATCCAAGCTCAAAAACATTTTTTTATGCAGTTGCAAAAAGTTATCTTTAGATTAAAAGTTGACTTTGTACTCATGACAGATGAAATACATATTTCATAATTTTGATAATGACTACCTTCGAATTAAATTTTATTCTTTTTGTGTGTGTGAGGCAGGGTCTCTCTTTATTGTTCAGCCTGTCCTTGAACTCATGGCTCAACCAGTTCTCTTGCCTCAGCCCCTCAAGTACAGGATGTACAGGATGCTTCTCCACATTCAGCATCACATTACATTTTTAACATATTTCCAAAGTATATTATTTTCTTTGTATCGGTATTCATTCCTTAAAATTGGTCCCATTAGTCTGGCTCAGACTATTTTTGACTCTCAACTAATTCAAAGTAGTTCCTTGTATCGTTAAAATTATTTTGACCAAAAAGGGACTGTATCTTGTGAAACAATTAGAGTTATATTAATCCATGTCCTTAGAATGATCTTATTCTTTAAAAATGGTCATTTCTACAGAGATGGTGCTTGATATCTTAGTGTCTTAAGTTTGCATCTAAAAAAATATGTAACTATAGCTGTGAAGTCTCCTCTTAACCAAACTCTGTATTCCTTTTGAAGGTTTTCTTTTGTGGATAGTATATCCCCTTTTCAAGCCAACAGAAAATAAATATAACAATTTATATTTTTGCCTTGCTTCTAGTTATACAACGTAGTCATACATATCATCCTATTTGAACCACAAAACTTTGTCAAGGAGTAAGGGTCAGAATTGTCTTCAAGATTTGATCACCAAATTTCACCTTTTCTCCTTTGAGTCAGAGAATCTTTTTTCCTTAGGTTAAAAATGCAGAATTTCCCAGAGGCATATTAAATTTAATTGAAAGCCTCATAGAAGGACAGTTTTTTAAAGAAGCAATGGAAGAGCTTTCCTCCCTGCAAGCACACTATATCCCTCCTGTATGCCTGCTTCATGCTCTTCTAGACAACGTTCTACAGGTGAGAGCAATGTTAAGGTCAGACACTTTTTTTAAAGAGTGCCAAAATGTGAATATTTTCTCTTTTTTTATGTTTATAGTTTATTTTCTCTTTTCCCCTTTTATTTTATTAGGAAACGCAGGATCCATTTGGTACCACTTCTTTTTTTAACTATACCTTGGTACTACTCTGAGCATTCCAAGATAATTTCTTTTGGAAAAAAAAAAAAGTTACCAAATTTTTCCCATGGCAGTAACATGTCTAACATAAAAATCAGATTACAGTGATATAGAATGCCACTGGGTTATTTACTCCTTTAGTACATTATAATAATTATTTTCGTTGATAATATACAGAGATAATGAACATACTTGCTAGTAAAACATTAGGAGCATCTATTAAAAGATAGCTTTGTAATTGTGTTCTTCATCAAGTGGTGATTTGAAAACATACCAGGCATAAGCTGTGTCAGACTAATGATGATAAATGTTGCATGAAAAGTTCTTACTCTGCCTTCCTTTTTGTATTGACATTTGGAACTGTAATCATAAAAAGAAACACAAACATTTCATATAAGTTAGTCCTAATAGCTAATATTACTTAATGTGTAGATATATATTTACAGTGTGCCTCTCTGTTTCACTATTTTATTAACTAATTATGATGCTGATATCTGATCTCCTTTGTCCAAGTTTATATATTTGGCAAAAAAGTTAGGTCAGAGTTACTCTAGTTGTAGACTGAATTAGCTGATGATACTACTTTTGTTTTATTTGTTTATTTCCAAATAATAGGATAACATAGATACATTTTCTGGTCGATACTTTGATATATTGTCAGCTCTTCTTCGTCTACATCCTCCTTGGAAGTCCCCAGCCATGTCAAGATATTACTTAGAGTTGTTTCAGTGTCCAAATTGTACAAAAGGAGCTTGGTCTCTAGTAGAAGCACTTATCAGGTAAGGAGTTTCACATGTGAGGATGCTAAATTTTGTCTTGTGTTTGTTAAACTGTTTCTGTTTTGTTTGAGATGGTCACCCAGGCTGGTCTCAAACTTGTGAGCTTAAATGATCCTCCTGCCCTCAGCCCTTTGAGTACTGGGGACTACAAGTGTGCACCAACACACTTGGCCCACTTGTGTACTTTTTTAGATCCTAATGAAAGAAGTATATTTCTTATTTTAGAAAAATTGTGTGTGTGGTATATTTGTGTGTTATATTTATTGCAAAACTTTTAAAAAGGACAAGTCTACATTTGTCATACTTGTCAATCTCTTTCTTAAAAGAAGTTCAATGAGTATAAGAAGTAGACTCATTAGCCAAAGTTTAATTTTTAAACAAAGTTTAAAATTTGCATATTTTTTAAACATAAAAAATTCCAAATATACATATCATCAATTTTTAGGTCACTAAAAATATAAATATTTTTAACTATACACTATTTCTATTTCAGAGTTTTGGCTATAAATTTTTCAGCTGTAAATTTGAATTCTGAAACAGGGCTTAGTGTTTCCTAAAAAGGTCACCTTTTTCAAGCATCTGCACAGGATGTCATCTGCCTAGACCTTCCTTTGTCTTCCAGATGTTACTGTCTCCAAAAATCCTTCCTATTCTCCTTATTCTCTCCTATTATCCTAATTAGCAGAACTAATTATTTTCCCATTTCTACCCTGACACCTCCATGTATTTGATAACCTTCGTTTGCCTGGTAAGATCATTGTTTTTATCCAAGTGTTCAGTTTTTGTTGGTGGTGGTGGTGGTTTTTTACTTTTTGTTCTTGGGGGGTTTTTTGAGACACAGTCTCAATATGTAGTTCAAACTGGCCTTGAACTATGTAGCCCAGCCTGGTCTCGAACTCATGGCAATTGTCTTGCCTCAGCCTCCTGAATGCTGGGACTACAGGCATGCACCAGTGTTCAGTTTTAAGAGGTCCAGAGTAATGAGACAGAGAGGGGCCCTGATAGGGAGGCAAAGGTTAGACCTTGGGTTAGCTCTTTGAGATTATAAAGATTCATCTACCAGCTTCGTTAGCATATGTTTGCAGTGAGCTAATCAGTTACCTAGCATGAATTTATTCCTTCCACAAATGTTTATTGAGTACATAAGGGGAATCAAATACCACTTTAGGGTTAAAAACATAAACAAAATTACAGTTTCTGTACTTTAAAGGTGATTGAGATGTGAACAGAGTGCCAGCACAGCAGTACTAGTCCAGCTTTAGATATAGGATGGGAGAAATATACACACACACACACACACACGTTTCTCCAGATCTTCTCCTTCCTTCACTGCCACTGCCTTTATTTCAAAGCCCCTATTGCTCCTCATATAAACTATTACACTAGCTGTTTTCTTAAAAGCAGATACTTAGTCTTACATATCTGTGTTTGCAGTATCTCATATAGAACATAATAAATGCTTAGTAAGGATTTGGATGACTTAACTGGCACTACAGGAGATGGGATTTGGACAGCTTTCTGTTACTAAGCAGAAATATCCAGGTTTTGTTTCAGAAGTACTGTGTTTGTTGGGGCCTGGCAAGGGGAGAATACCAAAAGAAGTGAGTCCAAATGAGCTGAGTGATATTAGTCTCTATACTACTGTGTATATTTGAAATATTCCATAATACCTTGCTTATCTATCTCTGGTGATAGTCAGAAAGCCTGAATAACTCTGGGGAGGAAGATGTTATGGAGCCAATTCAAGTCTTAAGTAAATTGTTACATTTAATAGCTAGTAAAGACGGTCCTGAGAATGTGGCATTCAAAATCAAACACAGATCCATTATTGGTGTAATTGATAAGAAAGTTGGGAGATAGTAATAAACATTGTCTCTTCAATTCTTTCTATAAGTCTTAGAGTTCATTAGTATTAAGTTTTCTTTTAAAATATGCTATACAACTGTGTTACCCAGCCTGGTAGCCACTAAATAATTAAAATGTAGGTCCTCAGGTACAAAAGCCACATTTCAAATGTCTACCAAAATGTACTTGTCATCAGAGAAAGTTCTGTTGGACAGGTTTATGGTAGAAGGTAGAAAATAAAATACCAGATTTTTAAAACTCTAAAATTGGGGCCCATTTACTAAATAATGAAAAAGAAAACCATGGGTAAGAATGAGAAGGATGTTAGCAGGTATTATAGACTTAGGCCACAACTAGTCATTTGAAACAAAAGGGCTTAACATTTCTAAGTCTCTTTTTTTTTTAAATTATATATATTTTTATTTATATATTTATTGGTGCATTTTAGGTATAGAATACATTTACATTTATCATTGGGTGTTTGTACCTGAACATGATGTGTCTTAGTTCTTATTTTTTCCCCATTACCTGTGCACCCTTTACCCCCACCACCCTTCCCTATTTACATAGACTTTGTTTCCATTTTTTTTTTTCTTTCTCATAATTTTTCCTTTCCTTTCTTCTCTCTCCCCTTCCCCTCCCGCCACCCCTCCACCTTTGGACCTTTTCCTATTTCAAATTATCAATTATTCATTTTAATCATTTTCATCCTTATTTACACTTTCAGTTTCTCACACTAGAGATACTATTTGGTATTTCTAAGTCTTTTTCTTATCAGTGTAGTAAAGGATACAAAAGGAGAGTGCTAATTGTTAAATATCATTGGAAAATAGAAATTAGATCTATATTATTAACAATGATGTTATCTAATATTCAACATGGTTTAATTTTTAAAGGAAGAAAATATTTTATTGTTTTATATTTTGTTGAAAAGCTCATTAAAATTACTACAATATTCTTAAAGAATTTTTGTTTACAAATCAATGATTTTTCTTGTATGTTACAGTTTATTGGTTTCATGTTTTTCAGATCGTGTCTTTTTAATGAAAATTTTTGTCATGAAATTTCACAAAACATTACTGACTCTAAGGTGCTGCACCTTACACTGCTCAAATTTTTCTTCAATTTGGTTGAAAGTGAAGTACAGCATCTTAGTCAAAAGTAAGTTTTAATTGCAAGAAACACACTTTCATATGTTTCTGTTGCTTGTATGCACCATTTTTATAATCATTCGTGTACATATTTCTAAAAAGTAGTAAGATTTGCTTATCCTTTAAACTTACATAGATTACTGTGTGTGCATTATTGATTTTTTTTTAACTAAGGCCAATGCTTATATTGCCTTTTTTATAATCTTTATTTTGATCTCTGTATATTCAAAAATTGCTGGGTGTTTTCACAGAAGATATGTAAAATAACTGGCACGATCAAATTGGGCATAAAGATTTACTATTTGTTCATATTTTCATTAGGTTGTATGACTGTTCAGAGTCTCATGGTGTGAAAATAACGGGAAAGGCAGTTCTTCATGAAATCTTTTGGTCAGGAAATGAAACTTCTGGGCTTTTGACCAAGCCAGTAAATATGCTTTTGGAATGGACTATATATTCTTACAAGGAAAAATGCAAATCTGATGATGTAAGTAGGATTAATTTACAAATGAATGTCTTTAAAAATTACAGTCATCATTATCTGTAGGTTCCAAATCCATGAATTTAACCAAACGTAGATCAAAAATTGTTGGAAAAAGTTGCATTGGTACTGAACATGTGCAGACTTCTTTTTTTGTCAGTAGTCCCTAAAGACAGTATAACTATTTACACAGTGTTTAGATTGTATTAGGTGTTACAAGTAATCTAGAGAGGAGGGGTGTAATTTATATTATATATAATTATATATTATGATGTACAGTAATGCTACTGCTTTGTACGTTGATTTTGTGTCCTGCTGCTTTGCTGAATTTATCAGATCCAAAAGTTTTCTGATGGTTTGTTTTTTTTTTTTTGCTCTTCTATGTAAAGAATCACATTATATCTATGCAAAATTCTTACTTTCGTACTCGAATCTCTTTTCTTTCCTTCTCTTGCCTGATTGCTGTGGCTAAAGTTTAAAGCATTATGTTGTACAGAGTGGTCAGGGTGGACGGACACCCTTGTCTTGTTCTTGTTTTTCCTATACAATATGATATTGGCTGTGTGTTCATCATACATGGCTTTTAGCAGTTTGAGGTAAGGTCTTTATGTAGCTATTTTCATCAGAGTTTTTATAATGAAAATAATTGGGATTTGACTTTTCCTGCATCAATTGAGGTAGTCATATGATTTTTATCCTTGATTCTCTGTATGTGGTGTATTACATTTATTGATGTAATAAATCTGTGGACCCATCCTTGCATCCCTGGGATAAAACCAACTTGCACATGGTGAATGGTCTTTTTAATATGGTGTTGAATTTTGTTTGCAAGGATATCATTGAGGATATTTGCATCTATGTTCATCAAGAATATTTGTAGTTTTCTTTTTTTGTTGAATCCTTATCTTGATTTGGCATCAGAGTAATGCTAGTTCATAGAATGAATTTAGAAGCATTTCTTTCCTTTAAATTACATGAAAAAGTTTGAAGAGCATTGATATTAGTCTGGTAAAATTCAGCAGTAAATTCATCGGGTCCTGGGGTTTTTTTGGCTGGTAGACTTTTTATTACTTTATCAATTTCATTGCTTATTAATGTTCTGTTTCAGTTTTTTGTATCTTCCTAGTTCAATTTTGGTAGGTCATATGTTAGGATTAATCCATTTATTCTAGAATTTCCCAATTTATTGGAATATGTATTTTCAAAATAATTTCTGATAATCTTGGATTCCAATGTTGTGTTTTTCACTTCTAATTTTACTAAAGTAGGCCTTCTCTCTGTTTTGGTGATTTTGATTACGGGCTTATCAATCTTGATTATCTTTGATTTATCAATCCTTTTTATTGTTTCTTTAATCTCAGTTTCATTAATTTCCACTCATCTTTATTGTTTCTTTTCTTCTACTGGTTTTGGGTTTTGTTTTGCTAGAAACTTAAGATATATCATTGAGTTATTTATTTGAGATTGCTTCTGTGTGCCCTACAGATTCTCATATGTTGTATTTCCATTATGATTTCATTATCCAAATTTTTAAATTTCTTTCCTGATTTCTTCCTTGACCATCATTATTCAGTCTTCCATGTATTTGTGTAGTATCTGTGGTTTTTGTTGTTGATTTCTAGTTTAATTCCATTGTGATGGGATGTATGGGTTTATTTCAGTTATTTTGTACTGCTTGAGACTTGCTTTTATCTTTCAACATGGCCTGCTTTGGCAACTGTTCCATAAACTGCTGAAAAGAATGTGTATCCTGTTGCTGGATGAAACACTGTAAATATCTATTAATCCATTTGATCTGTAGTGCAGTGTAACTAATATTCTTTGTTGATTTGTTTTTTTCTGCTTGATCTGTTGTGAGAGTGGGGTATTGAACTCCCTACTGTGATTGTATTGGCATCTGTCTGTCCTTTGTATCTTATAGTGTTTGTTTTATGAATTTTGGTTTCCAGTGTTTGGTGCATATATATTTATAATTGTTTTCTCTTGATGAATTATACCTTTTACCAAAGTGACCTCCTTTGTTTCTTCTGACCAGCTTTGAGGTCAGCTTTGCTGAATGTCACTGTAGCTAGCCCTGTCCACTTACTTTTGACCTTTAGTTGCCTAGAGTTATCATTTTCTATCCTTTCATTTTCAGTCTGTCTATGTCTGCAAAAGAGGTGTATCTCTTGCAGGCAACATATAGGTGGATGTTAATGTTTTGATCTAGTCTTCCAGTCTGTATCTTTTTATTGGAGAGTTAAGACCTTTTATATTATTATTGAGAGTTATGTACTAATTCCTGTCAATTTGGGTTTTTTTCCAATTTTTTGTTCATTTGTGTTTCTCATTTGTTTTGTCTCCCAAGGAGGTTTATTCTTTTTTTAGTTTTGGTTAGTACATAATGTTTGCATTCCATGTGTGGAGTTGGTACGTGTACCTAACACATTTCTATTCCCACTTTCATCTACTTTTCTTCTTCATCCCTCCATCTCCTGTTCCCTTTCCCATTTGAGAAATATCTATCGCCCTACTTCCTATTATCTATTTTTATTTTGCTCTTTGTTTATAATTTGAGGTCCTCATGTAAGAGAAATCATGTGATTATATAAGCGCCTGTGTCTGATTTATTTCACTTAACATTATGATCTCAAGATTCTTCCAGTTTCCTACAAACGACTCAAGGTCAGGTTTATTCTTTCTCTTGGCCTTGTGGTTGTTGCTCTTATCATCTCTGTTTCTTGCCATGTGCAGTGGCACACACCTGCAATCTCAGCACTCAGGAGGCTGAGGCAGGAGGGGCATTGCCAGTGGGAGGCTATCCTGGGCTTCACAGTGAGTTCAGAGTCAGCCTGAACTACATAATGAGACTTTGTCTCAAAAAACAAAACATTCATTTAAATATTTCCTGATTTGCTTACTTGGTAGTCTTGCTTTCTTTAGTTTAACCCCATCAAAGAAGTTCTTGCCTGCTGCGGGGGTTTTTTGGGGGGATGACCTTTATTATGTTAAGTTATAACCCTTTAACTACTTTGTTCAAGGCTTTTGTCATGAAAAGATATTGAATATTTTTCTTATTTCAATTATTTTATTAGTATATTATGGTGATACATAGATTTAAATACATTCATCATGAGGGAACTGGTACATATACATGTGATGATACTGAATTTTATTGAAGGCTTTTATTGCCAGTTGAAATGATAGTGTGATTTTTATCTTTAATTCTATTTATATGAGGTATTTTGTTTATTGATTTGCATGTGATGATTCATCCTTGTATCCCTGGAATGAAACTACCTTGATCATGGTGTATGATCTTTTTAGTGTGTTGTTGAATTCTCTTTGCAAGTATTTTATTAAGGATTTTTGTGTCTAAGTTTCTCAAGGATATTTGTCTGTAGTTTTGTGTGTCTGTGTGTGTGTGTGTGTTCAATCTGGTTTTGATATAAGGGTGATTTGGCCTCCTAGGATGTTTGGAATTTTTCCTTCCCTTTCTATTTCATGGAATAGTTTGAGGAACATTGGTGTTAGTTCTTCCTTAAAGGTCTGGTAAACTTCAGCAGTGAATCTATCTGATTGGCCCTGGGCTTTTCTTTTCTTCTTTTTTTTTTTACAGACATATATTTTATTCTCATTAGAATCATTGCTTGCCCAATAAAGATACATAATTTTAAAAATGAAAATATTTCATGATCCAATCTTAAAAGCTTTATTAGATTTTTTTGTTACCACTTCAATGTCAGTACTTGATCTGTTTAGGTATTTTACATCCTCTTGGTTCAGTTTTGGTAGGTTACATGCATTTGTATTTGTTCTAGTTCTAGAGTTTTTTACTTTCTGCTATGACTTGTTTTTAGTTTCTAATACCAATGTTTTCTTTGTTTTTGAAAGTGGCCGTAACAGTTATTTTATACTCTATATCTGATTATTTCTGTATCTGAAGTTTTGGTAGATCTATTTCTATTGCTGTTCCTGATATTTCCTTCTCTTGTGTTTATTTTCTCTTGCATCTTTTATTTTCTCTAGTGAGCCAGATAGCATTTGCTATGTGCTATAAATTGCATTGGAAAATTATTTGTGGAAACAGTTTGTAGCAGTGACCTAAGAGTTCTATTCTAGATAGAATTTCTGTTTACTTCTGCCAGCTGTGTACATTACCAGTCAAGGACTACCATAATCCAGTTACTATGTCTGAGATGTCCTAAATAGTCCAAGGGAACCAGAAGGCTACAGATAATGTAGTTTTGCTTTTGATTCACACTTACTCTTAGGGTAAAGCCTTTCAGGCTTTTGGCTAATTGGGAATTAGTTGCCAGTGTTGGCAAACCTTTACAACTTTCAGTGATACGAACAGCCCACTATGGCACACATACAATAATAGGTTTACCACCACTGCTTAAGTTATGACTTTAAAAACAAACAAGGGGCTGGGGATTTAGCTCAGTGGTTCAGTAGCCTGCCTCACAAGCGCAAGGACCCCAGTTCGATCCCCAGTACCAAAAAAAAAAACCCTTTTTTTCTAGCTCCACAAATCACAGAAGTGTATCTCACTCTTTGGTTTCTTTCTTTCTTTCTTTTTTTTTTTTTTTCCTGTACCGGGAATCAAACTCAGGACTTTGAGCTTGCCAGGCAGGCGCAACACCACTGAGCTAAATCCCCAGCCTTGGTTTATTTATTTTTAATTCATGTATGTTTTCAGTATATCTCAGCTCTCTTGCTTGAATAGGAAAATATCCTCAGGGTAGAGTCCTCTAGCTTTGTCTGCCTTGCTTGGCTTTTACCTTCTCATAGGCTTTGGCCTAGCAATTGCTTATAACTTGTCTCTTGCCAGGCCTGGTGACACATGCCTGTATTCCAGCACTCGGGAGGCTGAGGCAGGAGGATCACTGAGTTTGAGGCCAGCCTGGCTATACAACATGACCCTGTCTCAAACAAACAAACAAAAAACAATAACTTGTCTCTTCCTCGTGACATATTTTATATATTTTGTCCAACATTTTTGGTTTTCTAAAAATTTCCAGATCCCCAGCCTTCCATTAACAGAGCCATATATCACTGTTAGTTTTTTAAAATTGTGGTTAAGAAATGTCAGAGGCCTGCTAAAGAAAGAAAAATTATTTTAAGGATGCTATTTTTTTTCTTTTTTTTTTTTATTTTGGTAGATTACCATTTAAAAGAGAATGCTAGAGAACCTAGGTATAGGTAGACTGCTTTGTGATTAATCCTATTATGTGACTATAACCAGGTGAGTAGGCACTTTCTTATACATATATCTGATTTTAAAAGAAAAATGATGGTGCAAATGTAAAGAAGTAGAAAATATCAGCTGAACTTGAACTATCTATCTCATTGCCACTTGAGTGTAGTACTTCTCAGCTAAACCTTTATAAATTACCATCTGCTTATTTACTTTTTATACAATAGAATCACTTAGGGTAGAAAATATTTCTTCATTATAGAGCATTTCTTTGTTCAATATGATTTCATAAATGAAGTTGCTCATTTATACCTGAAAACAATGATAAAACTGACGTTTTCACTTTGCTAAATCATCAGAGGACAACCACAAAAACAGTAATGTAAATAGTAACACACTTATACATATTTAACTTGAAGATTTTTGTTCAAATTTATAAGTTAAGAGCAACATATTTGAGAAGCAATCTGCAATAAATTGTAGCATCAGGTGTAATATGAAAACTGGTTTTAAATTCTGCAAATTAATATTTTATTTAACATTTGAATTGCTTAAATTCACATAAAATGCTTTTTTTGTATTTTCTTTCTGTTAGAATTCATTCTTATACTTAATTAAATCTTTTTGGCAGTTTCCAGTTTAAAGAATTCCATGCATGTTCACAGACATCATTTTCCGTACTGTAAAGCATTTGTTTCTTGATTTGCTGAGTTGAAGCATTCAATTTAAGTCATTAGCTAAACAGAAGTCCTCAGTTTATGCTAATACTGTTTTGTCATAATGTCAATCAGCAAGTATTACAGAGTGACACAGTGGCAGTGGATTTCATTGTCATTAATCTGAGAAAGCTTTGGGCTTTCCCTGGCAGAGAGCAGAGGTGGGCTGTGTCGAGGTTACAGAGGAGGTGCAGACTTTATTTAGCAAGCTGTGCTGGTTAGTCCCACTCTCCTTTGAGGTGTCCTTAAGTGTTATTTAAGCATAACCTACAATTATAGGTAGAAACAGAAGCCAGTTTGTATTTGAAGATAAGAACATGGTGACTGGAGAGTTTAAGTAACTTATTCAAGGTGTCACAGCTTAAGAGCCAGGGCTTGATTGGAGGCCAAGTCTCTACAGTAGCACCGCCTCCTGTTTCAGATGCCAGTGTTTAAGACGAGAAGAGGCACAGCGCATGCATTGTGTGTCTTTCCAACAGGGTAGTTTGTCACATACTGCATGCAGTGGGATTTTATGGAAATCTCTAACCTGGGAGTCAGAGGACTAGATGCTAGTTTGTTCTATTTTGTAGAGTACTCAATTTTGGGAAGAGCTCCAATTTGATAAACTGGAGATTACTTTTACTGGCAGATGATGGCAAACTGTGTTTACAGGGTATATGGTAGTAGAGTTTAACACGTTAGAATAGAGCTCTCAGGTAAATAGATATCATATATGCAAATCATTTCTGTCTTTATTTCTTTGCTAATTCTTAAGTTATTCATGTTCTTTCAGCTTTAGCAAACATTTCAGTATTCCAATAAAGTCATTTTTCGTTGATGGTTTATTTGTGCTTTTCTTGTAATCTACTGCTGAAGTATATGTATCTACCATACTGGAAATAGTAGCATCTTTTACACAGTGTATACATGTATTGCATATAAGGCATAGTACCTTGGCCCTCTGGTCATGGTGAGTATCATAGTTAGGAATATAGTATAAAAGGATCCAAAAATCCGATTTCAAAGTATTTTTTACATAGGAATTTAGTATTATGTATATTTAATAATGTGCATGTTTGGCTAATGATACACAAATGTGAATAACTTTGGTGGGATCTTTATTACCATGGTAAAGATGTAGTTCTGCCAGGCATGGTGGTGTATGCCTGTAATCCCTGTACTTAGGGAGTGTTTAAACAGACTCTCAGCAAGGTGGAAGGGAGATGTGCTGTCGCCCACCCACAGATTCTGACCTGGTAGCATCAAGCGCTTTGCTGTGGCTCCAGAGCAAAAGAGGGCTTTGCTTCTTAACATGATATCCATGACGTTTAAAATCCCCTCGGCACTGAGCTTCAGAATCTCTCCCTGAGACTGTAATACCAAGCCCTTCTGGAACACAGTGTGCTGCCTCGAGTGTACTAGGACACCAGAGGACCTGCACAGTTACTACTGAACCTGAGGTTTTCTTGAGGAAACACTATTTGGCAGGCCTGATGTATGTGTTGCTCGACTATTTGCCTGTGTTTGCACAACAAACTGGAAATAGAGAACTTCCCATTGAAATCATTCCTGTCATTGCTCCTTAAGGAATGACGTCATAATAAAATACTGTATGGACCACCTATAAGAAACTGGTTTGCTAAGAGCAGGAGAAACAAACCTGGAATTTCTCTGTCAATCCCGTGGTGTCATACTATAGTGTGATGGTAGAAGAGAACAGTTGTAATCTACATGGATACCATTGAAACCTTTCCATATACCCTCTGCCCAACTGTTGATTATTTTTATGTGTGCAGCACACTTAGCAAGTTCTAAGAATATAGGAATTTCAACTAGTTGTAATTTTATTTTGAAAAAGCGTTCATGTTTACAATTAAATGTTTATTTTTTATATGTCATAATTTATACTGAATTTTATGACTTAGAAGAAAAAATATTTTTAAAACAGAGTAAAACACACTAGAAGTACGGTTTTTGTACCTTGCTATATTTTATAGAAATGTAATATTTATTGTAAAAGTGATACATAAAATAATATTCATACTTTAAAAACTGATCTGAACGACTAGAGAAGAAGGGGATTTCCAAGGGAGGAGGAAGGCCTGGGGGATTACGGGGCATGAAGTGATCCAAGTGTCTTATATAATATATGAACATATCCCATTGAGACCTTTTGTCCTGTATAACTAATATGACATGAAAAATAAGTTGCCTTAGGGCTTGCCCTACACACACGCGCACGCACACACACACACACACACACACACACACTGATCTCTGTACATCTCCCAAGTTATGTAGAATGGGTAAAATATAATTTGATAATTAAAAATTTGAGTCAGTCTATTTCTTTGTACAAATTTTCTAATGCTTTTATTCATTGTGTTTTTCAAATCATTTTTTGGAAAATGTTTTTTAGAGAAATGTAAAGGAAATTTGGTACTTGTTGAATGAATGGTTAAGGTAGCAAATTTCCACTCTCATAGTCAGCATGTTCCTTTTCAGAGAAATCCACAGAAGCTAGGTATTTCCTCATTGTTTTAATGGAATTATCACTTAATTAAACCACTTGACAGCATTGGATAAAATTATTTTACCAGTGCATTGTAAGCTATTCATATATGTCCCTAGAAGTTTTGTTTTATTAACTACTTTGTCATACTCGAGTTGAACATCCCTAATCCAAAATACTGCAAAATCCCAAATGTTCTGTTTTCTAACATGATGCCACAGTAGATTTCACACCTGATCACATGATGGCTCAAACTGTAGGTGCACTAACAATATTGTATAAAACTACCATCAGGCCATGTGTATAAGATAAATGTGAAACAAATGAATTCTGTGTTTGAACTTGGGTCCTATCCCTAATATATCTACTTTATGTAGTATATGTATCTGTACATATACATCCATGGATTTATCTACTTCCCAAGTCTGAAATCCAAAACACTTCTGGTCCCAGTCCTTTCAGATAAGGAATACTCAAAATGAACGTGTGTCAAATATATGTGTATGTGTGTGTATATACAATATACACACACATGTATATGTAGAGAATGAGTACATGTATATGTATATAGAGAGGGATGGGGTAGATAGAGGAAAGAGTTAAAAGAGAGAGTTGCTAGGATTCTAAAGAATATCTTTTAGCATTAGCATACCCTGTGTTTTTAAATAGCCAAGTTTGGTCTCTCGACACAGTTTAAAAATTAAACACAGAATTTCTGTGTTCTAATGTATTTTAGTAATATTTTTCCATCTTAATGTTAGGTCTTCAAACATGAACTAACTTACTTATTGACTGGAATTCTTGGAGCAACAGTAGATTATTGGATCTTCCTTGGTCTTAAGATGGGTAGAAATGTGATGCGACACTTGTCTGATGACTTCGGAAGTTATATTTCCCTTGCATGTGATGGTAAGTATGTCTTACATTTTTCTTAGACCCATTCTAGAAATGAGTTTTGAGTTTCCTTAAAACAGTCTGTAATCTTTAACCTATGTTCATAAAAATCTTTCCTTAAAATAATTATAGATATATACATACAAACATACACACATGGACAGTATGAAAAGGAAGATAAAAATTACCAATAATGTGCTCACCACTATTAACTTTAATGTGTTTCTAGTGTTCTCTACCACTAGAGAACATGAAGCATTTTCATATAGTTGAGCTTATACTATATATATACAATTTTGTATTCTTATTTTCCTGAACTCATTACAGGAGCCTACCTCCCATATATATTATTTATTAACCAAAAATATTATTTTGATGATTCTGTAAAAATTGAATAGTAGTACAGAATATACTACCTGGAAATAAATTATTATATAGTTATATATAATAATATTTCTTTAATCTTAAAACTAAAAATTATAATTAATGCATCCTATACAGTAGACAAATTTAAAATCAGTTTATTCCCATTTCACTGAAGACATAGATTTGCTTTTTTATGTATGGTTTTTAGAGGCATAAATGTTAAAAACTATTTTCAGTACCTGTAACTCCTCTTATTCCAGTTGAGTAGGAAGCATTGCTCTCTGATCTTATCTGTGATGTATGAACAGTTCCTAGGTCTTTTCTCTGAACATTTAAAAAATAAAATAAGTATTAAAAATAAAATTCACTGAATCAGAATACTTATTATTAAGACCCTCAGATTAATTTGCTTTATATCACTGATTCTAACATTCCCCTCTGTACCTATTGTTGTATAATTTTCTTAATATAAAAAAGTGTTACTTTTATTTTTTTCTAAATAAGTCTGGTGCTCTAACATGTGCATGGACAAAGCAAACAGAAGTAATTTATATGCATAACTGTCTCTTCTTCCTCTTCCTATTTTCTACTTCAATTTTCTAAAATTTTCTAACTTAAATGGGAGGATTATTAAGCAAAATGATTTCAGAACTCATTTTTATAGCATTCAGCCTAATGAAAAATTCTGCCCCACTCTTGTTTCTACAGAATGAGGGAGACTTCCTAAAACCTTACATATATTTCCTGTTCAGGAAGAATCTCGGCTTCCTGCCTCCTTCCTTCCCTTGTCCTTTTGTTTGTTTGTTTGTTTCTGTAACTGTAAATTCTTAAAAGGAACATGTTTTAAACGAGTTGAGCTTTTTGTGGCCTTCTGTATAGAAGATGATTTTTACACACATATTGTCAGTATTTTAGACTACCAAATAGTATTCAGTGTTCCTGCGCATGGGTATCAGCACATCTTGGATAAATAAAGAAAAATTCTTGAATCTGCTGTCAGTCACATGAATACTGTGAAGAAAGACTTCAGAATAGGAATCCAAGTTATAACTGGGTTTAGGATTTATTTGATGGTGCCCTCTGCAAAGAGAGGTCTCTTTTTATACTACCAAAGTTGGGAGATTTTTATCTAAAGCATTTTATCTCCCCTTTTTTTTTTCTCATTCATTGAGCTGAGGAGGTGATTGCTGTTGCTTTTGTGGACTAGCTGTCTTTTGTTGAGTGACTTTTTAACATTTCCTAGCTCAAATTCAATCTTCCTTTAGAACCTTTATCATTTCTCTCCCACCATTACTACCAGGTAGTTGGGTGTCTTGTCTTTCTTTTCTTTTCTTCTGTCTTTCTTTCTTTCTTTCTTTCTTTCTTTCTTTCTTTCTTTCTTTCTTTCTTTCTTTCTTATTTATCCTCTTTAGAAACTCCCGAATTCTGGCATTATTTGGTAGAATGAGAACTAAATATTTGGCTAGCAGAATTCCTTGTTTTCATTCTATAATGAAATCTCATTGAGTTTGGGGACCCGGTACAGGATTAGGTGATCGTTTGTTTCCAGTGTGTGGTAATTGCCTTTAAGGAAAGATAATTTACTTTCTAGATTAGCCAAGTGCATGAAATAATGAGCCTTATCAACAAGAGTTCTTTGTACTGTGCCTCAGCTTTAGTGCTTCCTCTACTCATATTCTGAAGTTCCCTTTACTCTAAAACAAGACATTGTTGCCCAGTGATCCAGTGTTATTGATAGTTTTCACCTGACGAGTTTTGTCTTTTGCTTTGCTTTTAGTAGCGTTGGGGATTGAACCCAGTTTGAGACAGGATAGCCGTCATACCGACATCATGTTCTTTTATTTCCAAACACTGGACAGAAAGAGGTTCTTTAAAGCCGTACTGTCTGAAATGTATTTTTAATGCCTAATTGATATCCTGTCTTGGCTTAAACTATTGGTTAGCAACCTTTTTAAATGTACAGTACTCAGGTAGGTAGTGGTCCTGACTCTGAAGACCCTGTGATCTCTTTCCCAGCTACTCTGCAGTTGTGGTAAGAAAGAAAGAAGCCATACATGGTGCATAAACAAACGAACATGGCTGGGATCACATAAAACTTTGTCCATACAGGCAGCAATCCTTGGCAACTAATTTCTTCTGCTCTTTCAGTAGGAAAGAAAACACGTCATCAAAATTTATTATATTTTTTTACAGAGTGAGTATTTTAATAAAACTCTGTCTAAGATTATAACATTAGCTTTCCCTGATACCTTTTCTAAACTTTTATTCAATTTTGCTTTTTTATCTCTTTTAATCTCTTTCTGTGCTTCAACCTCTTCCATCGGTATAAATTTTTATATTTTTATTAATCATCTCAGTAAAAATGTTTCTATTCCTATCATTTATTCAACAGATTTATGTTGGCATCCTACCAGTCAGCTTAGACAGTTCATATATATAGTGAAGATAGAACACGAAACCTGGTCCTTGCTGCTTTGGAGCTTTTAGTGGGAGAGGCAGACAGTAATCAGGTTACTATATCACTGTGCATCTTGGAAACATAAGTGCTCTGAATAAGAGCACTGGGTGCCAAGATTGGAAGCTTGCTTGATAGTGAGTGGTCACGGCATGGGGATAAACACAAGTTTGTCAGAGTCAAAGGACAGTGTCCAGGCACAAGGCAGCACTGACTAAAGCTCTGAGGAAGGCAGGAGCCGGGTCTGTGTGGGCCTTCCAAGTCCAAGGCTGACCGTAAACATCGGTGGGCGGAGTGGCCAGTGGAAGGCCCAGAACTGGAGAAGGCGGTTTGTATGGAACTTGTGAGCCATGTTGAGGAATTAGAAGCGATTTCAACGAGGGACTGGCATGATCTGGTTAGTTTTCTAAGATTGTTCTGGTGTGCCTTTCTATAATGACTTATTGTTATCTGTCACTCATTCATTCATCTGTCAAATACTACATATTTTTTCCATGCAAGTTAGTGACCTATATTCTGTGAGGGCTAGAAAAGTGACCCTGCCCTTGAAAGTCTTACAGTTCTTGTGCTTATCTCTTATTTATCGTTACCTGATAATATACAGATCATTTTTGGTATGTATTTCCTTATTCTGTAAATCTACCAAATAGGCCTCTTCTGAGTTGAATGATTCCATTTGTAAGTTCCAGTGTGAGATCATCTCCTTCAAACTCCACAGTACATGCTATTGCTGCTTTGCTTTTGGCTATGTTAAGAAGTCAGTTCATCATAGTAAACTGTGATGATAGGCTTAGCTTTAGTAGTAGGGAAAGAAAGGCTGTAAATATGTAAGTCCTTTCTCATTTCCAACTCTTAAGAACTACATCTCTGTTTGGGCTATTTGGAAGGGGATTTAAAGCTTAGCAACCAAGTCTGTTTGCGTCTAGGTGAACCTGGTTAAAGTCTGCCTGGAGCCATTTTTCCGAGGTTTAAAGACTGATGTGGCAATCTGCCACTGACAATAGCCGCAAGTGTCTTTAGTCAAGGCAGAGTTTCTCAACTGATTGTGTTTCTGCTGGCTACTTGTTGCCGGGAGCTGTGCTGCACACTATGGGATGTCTGCTAGCACCAGTAGCATCCTTTTCTCCAGTGTAAGAACCAGTATTCTCTGGGAACAAAATCCCCCCCTACTTTGCCTTGAAAACTCATAGTTGTGGATCAAGTCCTGCAAGGACACCAGAGCACCAGCCTTCTGTGAAAGTGTCTGAGCAGGGCCTTCACTGGGCCTCTGTAGTCTCTTCAACCTAAAGGCGCTCCATTTCTGAGGAGAAAAATCAAGTTTTATTCTTGCTATTAGGTTTTTCACTCAGTCTCATTTACAAAATGTAGTGACTTAATGCTTGTTTATCATGTTTATTTTGCTAATTTTGACTTATTCAGTGTTTGTAGTTAGTCTGCCTTATCAAATAATATCACAACTTTCTCATATACTATTTTGTTTTAGCTCTTTCAGTATCCTATTGGTTGGTCTCATTCTTTAATTACGATTCCATTATATTAGCCATTCTGTTGCTTATATAGAGAGAATTCATAATATTAAATAGACTACCTGAGAAACAGTCACTCTAGTACTTTATCTCTGTCAGTTCCTGTGCATGTTAATCTATTTCCATCTTACTGGAGCACTTGTGGTTTGGGGGTAGAAGAGATTTGAGCACCTTGGTTGTGTCATCATTTAAAATACTCCGTAGTATAGTGAGTGCAAACTTCTACTGAAGTCTTTATACACCCTCTTGTTGTACATTTGCCTGCTTTACCTTGTGCCTCTCTTCTTCCTATTCACTGATAGGGCCCCTGGGTCTTATCAGAGAAAGCAGACTTAAGTCCTTTCTCCCCATCAGCTCAAGACACATTGCAAATTAAGTACATGCAAATTTAAAACATGTATTTAAAAGCTACTGATTTCCCAAAAGAGCAACCCTATCATGAGAACAGATCCTTAATGTGGATTGGAAAGGTATAGTGATTAAATCTCATGTATATTGATATATTCATAATATTGTCTATCTCCTCTGTATATATGTAATTTTAAGACATGCATTTGAAGTAATAAAAAGTAATGATTGGTTTTCAAATGTGAGAACATGTACCATAAAAAATTTCTCTCAAAAGGCAAGGATTGGGGAGCTGGAGATTTAGCTCAGTGGTTCTGCCTGCCTTGCAAGCGCAAAGACCCTAGTTCGGTCCCTGTACCAAAAAATAAAAAAATTAAAAGGCAAGGAATGGGAAAATGATGTATGTCTTGTGGTTTAAAATTATATGGGTAAATCTTACTGGTGTAGGAACCACTATTTAATGAAATGAAATCCACTAGAGAAATGATTTATAGAAAAAAATTGTATAGGATATAGCAGTAATTGTATTTACTTCTTTTGTTTTTCTGCAGACTTTTCTTCACGAGAATTAGAGATTTTCATTTGCTCCTTTTCCTCCTCCTGGCTTCAGATGTTTGTTGCAGAAGCAGTCTTTAAAAAGTTGTGTTTACAGAGCTCCATTGGTATTTCTTCTGAGCCACTCTCTCTTCAGAAAATGGTAAGCATTGCTGTCTCCTAGCTCTTTGCATTTTTGGAAAGTGAATTCATGAATTCAATTTTAAAATATTCTTAGCTATTTCTAATAAATGGATAGAGCATAATTCATAAAATCAACCCATAAAAGGGCTAGTATTTTTCTACCTCAAAAATAGATTAGTGAGAAATAGATTAGTGAGGGCCAGGGCTTTAGCTCAGTGACACCACACCTGCCTCGCAAGCTCAAGGTCCTGAATTCGATTCCTGGTCCCAACTTTTTTTTTTAAATAGATTAGTGTACCTGTCCCTCCCTCCCCAACTCCTTTTAACTCCCCACCCCGAAGGGAAAAGATGCTATATTGAAGAGTTTATTCATTATAAACTTCTGTTGGGTTGGTCCTTGGTTTTAACTTAACTCACATAGTTAAATGTGATAGATTAGTAACTACCACAAATTGTCATTTTCTAAGCTGTGCTTGATGCTCTGGTATTGCTGACTATGTCATTTGGGCTAACATGTTGTGATTGATCTAATTAGTTTTCCTTCCTGGTATAAGGAAAATAAAATAGCCTCAGAGTCATTAGAGTCTCAAAACCCAAACACAAGCTATATCTGGAAGACACCTCTGAAAGCAATCATTCCACAAGGGTTTTAAACACAACCAACAAAGATGCCTACATTAAGCAATTTTGAAATACCAACCCAGGAGTTAAACCAAGGACAGTCCCAAAAACAAAAATGAGCAAGGCACAAACGCAAGCTTCCATGCCACAAAAAGGAAATTCTGGGGAAAAGGAGGTGGAAAAGTCTGATAAGCAACCACTTAGACACCCTGAACTGATAGCACAGAAAGTAACAAAGCAGATGCATGAGGCTCTAGAAAAATTCAAAACAGAAATAATCTCCCAGATAAATACAGACATGGTGAGCAGAGTGAAAGACATGATTAGAAGCTCTAGAGCAGAAACAGATAAGAAAATAGATCAGATCAGAAACATACTGGAAGCCATGAATGCCCAGCATAAGAAAGAAATGGAAACCATGATCCCCCATCATAAGAAAGAAATGGAATCTATGAAACAGATTCAAACAGATATTCAGGAGATTAAAAACTCCATGAAGAGTAGACTAAGAGAATCTGAAGATAGAATATCAGATATAGAAGACAGGATTGCAGTTAAGGACCATAAAAACAGATTTCTTAAAGACAGTAAGGGACCATGAGAAATCAATCCAACAGCTGCTAGATGATGCAAAGAAAAATAACATAAGGCTCATAGGACCCCACGAAAAAACAGGAGAAAATACAATTGACGTTAAAAAAGTGCTCACAGAAGTAATAGTAGAAAATTTCCCAGACAGAGATAGAGAATTGGACATGCAAGTAAGTGAGGCATATAGAACTCCAACCAGCCATGACCAAAAAAAAATTTACACCTAGACATATAATAGTCAAGATCCCAGAAACCCAACAGAAGAACAAAATTCTACAGGCATTTAGAGAAAAGAAACAAATCACCTGCAAAGGAAAGCCCATCAGAATCACGACAGATTTCTCCTCACAAATCCTCAAATCAAGGAGAGCCTGGAGTGAAGTATTTCAAGCCTAAAAGAAAATAACTTCCAACCTAGACTGTTGTATCCTGCAGAATTATCTTTCAAAATCAGTGGGGAAATTAGATACTTTCACGACAACACCTGAGAAATTTCGTGAGCACCAAACCAGCACTCCAAACAATTTTAAGCAATATCCTAGAAAAAGACAATGAAGGTCACAACTCCATGAGGCCCAGCAGAGAGAAGGCACTGCGCAAAGTAAGACACTAAAGTGAAAGGGGGTAAAATAAGAAATAAAAGAGCCAACAACAGTAAAACATCATGACAGGGATGAGTCACTATCTCTCAATTATAGCTATCAGTGTTAACGGCCTCAATTCACCAATCAAAAGAAATAGACTGACAGAATGGATTAAGAAACAAAACCCAGCAATATGCTGTATACAAGAAACATACCTAACTCAAAAGGAAATCCATAGACTGAAAGTAAAAGGTTGTAAAACAGTTCTCCATGCGACAGGAACCCAGAAAAAAGCAGGCGTAGCAATCTTATTTGCAGACAAAGTAGATTTCAAACCAAAACTAAGAGAGACAAAGATAGTCACTACATACTTGTGAAGGGAACAATCCAAGAGGAAGAGATGACAATCCTAAATATATATGCACCAAATATGAATGCCT